GAAAAAACCGATCGAAGTTGGTCGGTTTTTCAAAATATTTTATTTTTAATTTTTTTTATAAAACCGACAGACTTCGGTCGGTTTTTTTTTGGCGCAAAAATGGGGGAAACGATTTTATCATCCTGCGAATTTACTTTTTCAATTAAGTAGAATTTTTTTTAGATAAGTTTAATAGCCTGTTTGGCCAAGATTCTTTTTGGCCAAAAGTGTTTTTTTTTTTTTGGCCAAAAGCACTTTTGGCCAAAAATTGAGGTGTTTGGCCAAGCTTTTGGAAGGAAAAAAAAGTTATTTTGAGGAGAAGCAGAAGCAGTTTTGGAGAAGCAGAAAAAAGTAGCTTCTCTCCAAAAGCACTTTTTTGAGAAGCACTTTTGAGAAAAATACACTTAGAAGCAGTTTTTTAAAGTTTGGCCAAACACTAATTGCTGCTTAGAAGTGCTTTTCAAACTAATTAGCCAAACACAAACTGCTTCTCATCAAAAGTACTTTTGAGAAAAACACTTCTCAAAATAAGCTGATTTTTGCAGCTTGGCCAAACGGACTATAAATCAATTTTTTAGATGGTTTTAATTTGTGGCACAAATAGAAAAGACAAGCAAATACGTTAAGTACAATCAGAAAGAAAACATGTTAAAAAATACCCGGAAAGTAAACAAATTAGGGAGCAACTAGATTATCCACGTGGCGACTACTTATTTGTTATTTTGGTATCCCATGGATTACTATCCGAGTTATCATCTCTTCTCCAATCTCCACCGTTAATAGAAAATCTCAACAAATGAACGGACTTCATTCACTCTCAATCCCCGCAACGCCATAAAATTTCAAACTCTTTTCAAAATTTCCCAAAATTCCCGCCCACCTTCCCTCCTATATAACTTCCCATCACACATCTCACCATTATTCCCCAACTAAAGCAGATTCCAATCTACAAAACTGTTTCATATTATTTTCAAAAATACGAAATGGCTCGTACCAAGCAAACTGCTCGCAAATCAACAGGTGGAAAGGCTCCAAGGAAGCAGTTAGCTACCAAGGCTGCGAGAAAGTCAGCTCCGGCGACCGGAGGTGTGAAGAAGCCTCACCGTTTCCGTCCAGGAACTGTTGCTCTCAGGGAAATCAGGAAGTACCAGAAATCTACTGAGTTGTTGATAAGGAAGCTGCCATTTCAGAGGCTGGTGAGGGAAATAGCTCAGGATTTCAAGACAGATCTGAGGTTCCAGAGCAGTGCTGTTGCTGCTCTTCAAGAGGCAGCCGAAGCTTACCTAGTTGGACTCTTCGAAGACACCAATCTCTGTGCCATTCACGCTAAGAGGGTCACCATAATGCCAAAGGACATTCAGCTGGCCAGGAGGATTCGTGGTGAAAGGGCTTAGGAATATGCTTCGTTGTGGTTGTGGTTAATTTTGTGTTCTTCTGATTTAGGGCTTTTTTTCCTGTCTTTCGTTGGATGTTAGGGTTAGTGATGTAAATCAAATGACTTGTTTCAGTCAAACTATATGTAAAACCTCTGGTTTACTAGTATTTTAAGATCTGATTAATGAAATCTATTGTTCATTTTGTTTCAACCAAAGGTGCTTTTCATATACGGGTTTCAAATTTGCAGACATTCGAAATTGAAACATATTCTGTTTTTTCCTTTCTGGCGATTGACTATTCATATAAATGTATTTTTTGCACTAAGTTTGTTTGTTGAAGGATTGGCTTACTACTTGTGCCTTGTATGCTATACTTTTCAGGGGAGGAATAAAAGCATTTAGATTCTCAATTACAATGAGAAAGAATTACTTGGCATTGACACTTGTGGTAATGCTTGGAAAAATAAATCAAACGGGTTTTTATGTAGTAAAATGGAATCCCATTACTTTGCAATGCATATTAGATAGTATGAAACTCCGCGGATCCTTTATTTGTTTTCTGAAGTTAAACTTGATTTTGTTGGAAGTGACTAATATTAGAGGTACTCTTTATTCAATAGTGACTAAATTTTTCATTTATTAGCACCAGCATTCTGAAATTGAACTTTATTTTGGTCTGTTAATCAAAATTTGATTTTCTTAATGGACACTATTATTCGTTGGGCTGGGTAGCAAGTTGAAGTGGTAGCTGTTTTGATGTTAACTTTCGGTAACATGGTGCTGCAACTGTAGTATTGAAAGTGACTGCGCTATTGTAACTTGTTCTACTTATTCAATTTTTTGCAGTATAAACTAGGTATATATTCATTAATAAGTCAATTTGGACAAAATCCAAATTAGTAAATTGTAGAGCTTGGTTTTGTTTGGGAGAATGTGAAGGGATATTAGGGTCATTGGGGTAAATCTCATTATCTTGAACAATGAACATATGTGAAGTGTTGAGTTGTTAGTTCTCTGAAGTTGGTAAAATCTGTTTCATTTTGCTTTAATTTTAAGTTTCCATGAATATCCTTCTATATACATGAATGTCCCTGTGTCTGCTTGCTTTGTTTGTTCCAATACTTCTGTTTTCTTATACATGACTTTTCCTTTTTTATTCACCAATCCTCCTTGCGACTTAAAAATGTCAACGGTTGAAAGCAAGAATGAGATTTGGATCTTTTTTTTTGTCTGTACTTATAGACAGCTTTTGCGTATTGTGCAGCTGTTATAAACATAGACGCTTAGTGATTGTATATTGAAAATTGAAAATGCTTCATTTGTCCTCTAATTCACTTTTTACCATTGCCATACGTACAGGTATTAGGAGATCAACAGCAGCATTCTAGTTCTTTGACGTAAAAGGCCTTGCTATGTTGAATCAGAAGTGTCTAGCCTCCGCAATTACTTGTTAATAATCAGACGGTAAGTTTAGTTTTATTGTCTAGCAAAATAACCCTTGCGTATTACTTTTCTCGTTTCTAACCTGAGATGAACCATTCTACTTTCAGACATCTCGTCTCCTGCAACTATAAGTCTTTCTAAATCAAAATTAAACTTAGAGCTGATTGAGTTTATGAACATACGGCTATAAAAAGGAATGTGATAGTTACTAGTTACAGATTAGAAAGACCCTTTACTTTCTTGCTTTTTGTTGCTTATATAGGTCAGTTTTCTTGGATTTTCTGCAGTGGAAGTAAAATCCGTTTGTTGACTCTCCTGATGTTTTAGTAATCATGCGGCTCGACTAGCTCGACTTAGTTGACTTAGTTGAATGATATTGATCTTATGAAGAAAAAACAATGCTTCTTCAAAATGGCAGTAATATACTAATAGTAGCAACTTCTCAATGGAGAACAACTGTTAGAGCCATGCTTGCAGTGTGGATTGCTCTAATATTCTTTAGATTACTAACATCACACAGCATTTTTGCTCTACTTACTTGCAATAAACGACTATAATGGTCCGGAATACATATCCTTAATCGGTTGATCCAAATTAAGTTCATTTTTGGTAGTGTTACTTCACTTACAGTAACAAAATATCGAAATATATTCAACAAAAATGTCTAAAATGTACTTGTATGAACCCTGCAAACTGTCATTTAACAGATGTAGAACCTACAAATCAGTTGGTATGTCTAGTACTGTAAACCATTTGTTATTGCTCTTTCGTTGGAATCTGATATTTAATTATCTTGATTTGTGGCTTAATGCAGCAAGATTCACTCAAATCTAAATTGGAAAAGTTACATCATACATATTATTCCTCAAGTCACTATTGTATCTCCATAATGTGCTTGATAAGATCTATTTACTAGAGTTGGGCATTCTACAAAGTTTTGTATTCCATGTTGTTCACTTGTTTTGGCCCCAAAAAATTTGAGATATATGTGAAAGTATGTTTAAGGAGCTCTTCTTCTCGGACATTTTGAAAGTGCAGTTTTATTTTTCTACGGTTAGTGTTGCACAATTAGGAGACCAATGTTGCCCTGCAGTTTGGAAAAATACTGCGCTGCATGTGAAGTTTCTGTGTTTTTCTTAGGAGGCCTTCTCCTTGGTTCTGCATTAACTTGATATATTCACTTTATGCATGGCTAGATGATTATTCCTGGAGCGGTTTACTGCATTTCATGTGTTAGTACTCTAAACAAGTGGAAGATTAATGCGACTTTTGTTCCATCTTATGTACCTGTTGAAGATGCCTTCAGGTTAATAGTAAAATAGTTCCCTTTAGGTCTGAGCCATGAGATGGAACAACAACAACAACAACAAATACAGTAGTTTCCCGGACCCCACTCGTAGGTAACTACTGGGTTTGTTGTTGTTGTTCCATCTCATGGCTCAGACCTAAAGGGAACTATTATACTATTAAGTTGAAGGCATCTTCAACAAGTACCTGTGATTAACATTTGATGCTATACAAACTAGATTAAATGCAACTAGTAATTGAAAATGTAATCTAAACTTTCCCAAATGATTATGCCTGTTAAACATCTCCTTGAGCTTTTAATATTTCCCAAGCTGGAAACCAATCTGCTCTCGGAGGTATGAAATCTACTTTCGTTGTTTAAATACTAAATACAACAGTAATTAGAAAACCAATGCATACAGATGCTAAATTTTGAAGGGTTGTCAACCTCACCCATGAATTTACTAGCAGCAACAATAGACAGATTGATTTTTGTCAAATCTTAAATAGGTATGAAGATAGTTAGACCAAAGACCACATTTTCCATTCTAATAGCTGCATACACCCTTTGCAAGGACAACAGGAAAACAAGAGCTAAACTAAGAGTTTAAAGACAATAAAGCAACTCTGAGTTGTGAATACAGAATGATATTTTAAAAGGCAAAGTAATTAAAGCATTGATACAAATGAAAGAGGCAGAAAAGTAGGAGAAGACCTCTTTGGAGGCAAAATACACATGAGGAACCACATCAAAGCCACATAAATATATTTCTTTTTTATGACTGGATCTTTTCTATTTCAGAATAAAAGATCATCTATAAAAATGTACCTGAGTGATGATACTCTCTAGAATTACATGTCAAAAAGGAAAAAACTATGATTCTCGTGGAATTTACAACAAATGGAATCAGAATTTCAAAACCTCCTCCTACTATCCCAGCAGCGTTTGGGAGCAGAAGGATCTTTGGCTAGTTTAGGCATATCATGAAAGTCCACCATTATGATCCTTCTCTTGGCATTTTTTTGCTCAGCAACCCTTTCCTCAAATTTTCTTTTACTTGATTCAAATTTCATTCCGGATTGTGTTGGTTTTTGCATTAGTGTCGCAACTGTACAGCTTTGTGCTGGTTTTTGCATTGGTCTTGCAACTGCAGAGCTGTGTGTTGTTTTTTCCATTGGTGTCGCAACTGTAGAGCTTAGTGCTGGTTTTTGCATTCGTCTTGCAACTGCAGAGCTGTGTGTTGTTTTTTCCATTGGTGTTGCAACTGTAGAGCTTTGTGCTGGTTTTTGCATTGGTCTTCCAACTGTAGAGCTTTGTGTTGTTTTTCCCATTGGTGTTGCAACTGCAGAGCTTTGTGTTACTTTTTGCACTGGCCTTGCAACTGTAGAGCTTTGTGTTGTTTTCTGATTTGGTCTTGTAATAGCACTGCAGTTTCTCTGTTTCTGTAACTGTCCTCCTCCCTCAAGCCTCTTGATCTTCTGTGAGGAACAATCTTGGCTTTCATCTACGCGGTTGATATCCTCGTTCATTTTCCTTAAACCTTCGGGAGAATTCTTGGTTGCCGATCCCGTGACACAACTCATGTTCTTGCTTTCGGTACTGTCGGACCAACACTTTTCTGCTTCTGTCTTCTTTTCTTTATCACTATCAACATGCATGTGTTGAAGCTTGTCGTCAATGTCCCGAGTCTTCTTTAAACTTAGTTTTACTTTCAACACAGTAGATTTGGTCTTACTGACGTTGTAGTTCCCTTGTAGCCCAACAATATGGCATATTTCTTGATCAGCTTCTTGAAACCTAGAACAACTCTTCTCAGTATCATCAACAGAGAACTCAGCACCTCCACCACTATTGATTTCTTCATCTTCTTCGATATCACTTGCACTGTCGATTTCTTCATCACCAACACTGTCCATTTTTTCAACGTTAACGCCGCCTCCACCACTATCGATTTCTTGATCTTCTTCTTCATCACTAGCACTGTCAATAACTTCATCTTCTTCTTCATCACTAGCACTGTCGATTTCATCACTCCGTGGTTTTTCCGGATTCAACAACATCATTAGTAATTCATCTTTGTGCTTCTTAAACTTTGTAGGGTACTTCCATGTACCAACGTGTATGGCTGCTTTAATCAACTTAAAAATATTTGGCTTCTTCTCTATGGCAAAATTGTTTAGAAACAATGCTTCTAAATCCAGGCTAATTCAAATACACTCTGAACAACAAGAACTGTCAAACTCTCTCTTATTAAAAATTGAAAGAGAAATTTGTTTGGCAGCCGAAAGAGCATTATGAGGCACATTTATACACCCTAATTGGAAGGAAATTTAGAAACTATTTTTCTACCTGGTTTAGGAGTACTGTGCAAGCGTTGCTTGCAAGCAAATTAATCTTTTTTTCCTTTTCCCCTAAATAAAAATTTACTTTCCTATATACTGTAGGAGTGCGCAGTTGCCTTCTATCCACATTTCAACTAAGATAAAAATTTACTACCCTTTTACTTCTCTTTCTTCAAGTATGCAAAAATTAGTTCATATAAGAGAATACAAATTAAAATGTTAAATATATTGCAAGATACAAAAAATAAATAAATTTTATGTTGGTTTGTAATAATTTTTTAAAATACCTAGTGCAACAAAAAATTAATTAATTACTCCTATAAAGCAAAAAAGAAAAATGGCCAAGGAAATTCAAACCAAAACCAAGAAAAATTACCATCGCACTGACGGAAGGGAATAGTATAATGAAGTTAATTACCCATTTCTCTTAATACTTCCTTATAAATAATGTTCTTGATCTGTATATGTTCCATAAAAGGTTAAACTTTAATGTAGTTTCTCATTAACAAATTATGTTGAGTTTTTTTGAACCTATTGAGAACTTTTCCCTTTTTAATTATAGTTTTTTTTCTTTCAATAAAAATAAAGTTGGCTGGAAAAAGTAAATAATGACACTGAAAAGTAACAACTGAGGCTTCAAAGGAAACTTTCCACAACAGAAGGTGGTAAAATGAACTTGACATTATGCCATTATGGTGAAAAATAAAGCAGAAGACAATTAATAGAGCCTTGTTATCGTATGCCTTAAGTTGTTGGTTCTGAAAATGGTGCTTTCAAACTTCTCTATTACTGTAATTAAGTTTATTCCTCATTGTTCTTTCAGCACTTTGGATTGGAGCTCAATTTGATATGACAATGTAAAAAAACTGTACGACCACCTATGTAGATTAACTTCACTCCTTCAAAAGATGAATTGTGGGGATTTTAGACTTAGAATAAATATGATACGTACATTTGAATTTTATTGAAATCTACATTAATTTTAAAGATAAACAAAAGAGAAAAACAGATACATATCTGATATGGAGCTTATTGGCATAGAGAAACTCCGGACCAATCAGAGTCGCACAAATGCACATAGACGGAGGCATACGAGATGAAGCTCTTCGGCTATTAAGCATGTATCGATCTCGTTCAAGATCACAAATTAGAATCTATATGTTGTATTTTAATTTTGGCAGAATAGCCTAATAAACACTTCTATTTGTACCGCTTTGCATTCCGGTCCCGATACTCTACCAAGTTTCATCCAGACACTTGTAGTTTTTAAAACACATCATTTTAAACCCCTCTGACCGTTGATCAAGCATATGTGGCAACTTCATGACTGAGTTGGACAAAATACGTGAATTTCACGCGCATAACGAGAGTAAGTATAAAAAAAGTTAAACTAAAAATGATTAAAATAAGAAGAAAAAATAAAAAGAATAAGTAAAAGTAAAAGAAAAAAAGAATAATATAAGAAAAAATAAAAATCTCTGTTCTTTCTTCTTTCCCCCATCCCCTCCCCCATTTCTTTTTCTCTTTCTTCCCTTCCCCTTTTCCCGTTCTTTTCCGCCCCTCCTCCATTTTTCTTTTCTCTTTCTTATCCTTTCCTGTTATTTCCCTCCTCCATTTTTCTTTTCTCTTTCTCCCGTTATTCCCGGACTTTCCATTTTTACAAACCTTCAGTCAATATTTGAGAAAAAAGTAGTAAATCTTTTTTGAAGAACAACCACCATTAATGTTTTTGAGATGAATTAGATCTATGTCTATTGAATATTTGAGGTGTACAATGTAGAATGTGGGCATATGAATTCCTTTTTATCGGTTACATCACGCCTCTTGAATGTATATTACGAAGGCACCTGCATTTTTTCGACCACTATTTCTGAAAATATTTGGACTGAAATCTGTCCAATGATGAGGAGTTTCAGTGGTAAAAATTTCTGAAAGGGAGATGGACAATGGAAAGTTGAAAAATGGTGGGTTTTAGTTGTCCACCGTGGTGCTGCCGCCGGTAAAGGCGGTAAATCATGGTGTTATTTCTGCTCTAAAAAATAGAGATAGGTGGTCAAGGGTGGGGGAGGAGTGAAAAAAGGAAAAAATTAAATTTTTGAAATTAAATTAAAAAATAATGATGTGTCATTTAAAATCTGATGTGGACTATGATGTGTCATCCACATCGTGTGTTTGAAGAACACGCGAGGCCGGAGGGGTTTAAAATAATGTATTTTGAAAACTACAAGTGTCTGAATGAAACTTGGTAGAGTATCGGGACCGGGATGACAAAGCGGGACAAGTAAAAGTGTTTATTAGGCTATTCTGCCTTTAATTTTTAACCAAGTGACTCATACATGATTATGTGATAAAAAAATATTTTTTACAATTTGCTTAACCACATACACTTTTGATATTATGAATGTGTAGGAAGTTAATTTTGATAATTCAGCTATAATTTTCAGTTCTCAGATATCTTTTACAACAGTTAACTAGTTGAAGTAATAAGTAAGAAGTTAGAATTGAATATGAAATTGGCAAGAAGTGAAAGAGACTAATGCAGGAGTACTAGTTTTAGGATACACGCGCTGCACGTGTACTCTATATTGATGAGTATAAATTTTTTAAAATTACACAAATACTATTAAACCATGTAATTGAATTGTTGAATATAATTTTGAAAAATATAAACTATGGAAAATAATTAATACTGATCCTATTTAGCCAACTTAAAAGGGGGGAAAAACTATGCCACACAAAAGTAATCTAATGCTTTACTATAACTTTAATGTACGAGTTATGCATTTGTTTTAGTAGCTCGGAGTATATAATATATTGACTTGTGCTTAAATATAATGTAACAATACTATGTTCTTCATTGTCTTAGAAATATGAATTATATTTGCTATAGTACCTAATATGAACTTCATCCTATTCATGTTAGAACTCAAATTGAAAATACGAAAAATAAAAAGAGAGTTCATATTTTTATGTTTAATTATCATACAAAGAATTTAATTGGATGGTAATATTCAAATCCAAATAAATTTATTTCTAGATTGAAATTTCAATAGTTGTCATAGAAAATTTAAGGTAAAAATTAATAAAAGGGCAGTCCAGTGTACTAAGTTCCCGCTATGTGTGGGGTTTGGGGAAGGGCCGGACCATAAGGGTCTATTATCCGCAGCCTTAAGGTGGAAAATTAATACTTATTATTTATTTTATTTTAAACATTCAACAATATTTAGATGATGAAATAATTTTTCTTTGTTTGGGGAAAAATAAAACATATACTGCTGCCTACCGCTAGGTTTAAATCCACGTGACTCGTTTTCTCTAGGCATGTAGTTTTACATATCTTATAGATATCACGTTGGGGCAGAGTCAATGGCAAAGCCAGAAATTTCTCTAAGGGTGAAAAATTCTCAACAAAGGATGTTCAATATATGTTATATATATCTAAAATTTAATATTTTACTTATATATGGAGTGTAATTTTTCGTAACATCTCGACGAAGGGTGGTCAATTGACCACCCTAAGCAAAAGGTAGCTTCGCCCCTAGGTAGAGTAGCAACAACTAGAGGTCTCGTGTTCGAGTCCTGGGTATGGAGCCGCCTTTGTTAAGCGCTTTACCCATGGGACTTTTTGGCTCGAATCTGCATTTAATCGAGCTCTCAATATAAATAACGGACATCGGATGGAAAAAAAACATATCTGGTAACTACGTAAAATTCACACAATAATTAGAATTTGCAATTATGTGGATGAGTAATATTCTTATAAAATTCACACATCAATTCTTATTTGATTTTGTCTTATTTAGTTCACTTTAATTATATTTGTCACGTGAAATCTAAAAGTTCGACAGAGTAATCTTGTGACTCATTAAATCCTATTGTACTAATCACATAGGATCATCATATTTAGAAGGATGTATGAGCAATTGAGCTAGCATAACCTATTTGTACTTACCAAACAATAGTTGCAGCATTTTAAATGTCAAATGAAATTGCACAAATATGATTTCACATCCCTCATTTTTGTTCAGTAACACAGACCAGAGCGTTACATAGTCGTTTCATTGCATCTGTATTCATGTGAGGGGTAGTAACTATTTGGTTTGCAAAATAGACAAAAGATAAAAATAATTGACTTATGCTCAATTTGATGGATGCTCATCTTCTTTTTATTTTTATTATTACGATAAGAAAAATTATCTATCAATATGGTGCCACATTTGATAATAACTTACGCGAAGTAAGAAGTCATCAGCCCCAAGATTTAGCTTTATGTATAGGTTCGGCCACTATACTAAGAGTAAAAAAGGCAGTCAGGTGCACAAAACATCCTACATTCACGCTCACGCAGGGTTGGGGAAAGGGGCCGCATCCCAAGGTGTGTGATGTAAAAAACCTACCCTAGTGCAAACATTAGTGACTGCTTTGACAACTCGAATTCGTGATTTATAAGTCATACAGAGACACATTTACTTTGTTCCCAGACTCCCTTTCCCACTATACTAAGAGTCTCCCACACAATATGTATAGAGGTTTAATTCTCATTGTCCCCTTCCCTTTCCCCTTCATTGACCCCCCTATATAATAGGTAAACATTAAGAGAAACAACCTTCAAATTACACTTTGCTTTTCCATTTCATTAACAGTATTCTGGAAACTCTACTAGTGCCTTGGAAGAAAAAGATGCTAAAAGAAAACCCTGAGCCCGGAATACCTTCTCCGGTGGCGGAGGCAGAATTTCCGCTACGGGGTTAAAAAAAAAGTTAAAAAATTAAAAGAGACTCTGGTCTGTGGGAATTGAACTAGCTAGCGACCATACAAAGGTTTTGAACCCCCTTGACCACTGAGCTATGCTTTTGGGCTACATTAATGTGATTGAAAATATAATATATAGAGGCACCAAATAAATTTTGTCTTATATGTACAATGTGATTTTCTGGCAAAGGAGGTTCGGAAAACTCCTTCTGCCCCCCTAAATCCGCCCTTGTTCTCAACAACTTCCTTGCAACGTCTTGTACATGTGTTACGATATTTCTACTGACACTGGAAAATACTTAAACGTTTCAGCAGACATCAATTCAACTTGTAATGCATAGTAGTATAAAATTCGACCCGAAGCTAACAAAGACTCTTTCAATTTGTCAAGTTAAGGATTAAAGACAATACCACTAAAAATCAGAAAGATTATTAAAGACTGGATAATGAAGAGCTGCAAACTTGATCCAAACAGCTTAATTTTATGCATGAGTTTAAAATCACACGAAATGTGCAGTATCCTGACGCTCACTATTTAAAAGAAAATGCATACACACAGAGATTGCAGAATTGCACAAGAATAGTATGGCAGCATAATGCAACTCTAAAAACTCACAAACTCTTTGAAACGAAAAACTGAAAGTTGCACTAGATTACAGAGTGAGTTCACTTCTGCTATGTAAAAAGAACATTAAAAATTTATATACAGCTTGTTACAACAGCAAAAGTAAGATGTTTATAATTCTCAAGTCCGATGAAGGATCAGAGAAAGCGTATATACAGAAGCTGGAAGGAGAGTGAAAGCGTGAGAAAGCATATGTACAAAAACTGGAAGGAGACTGAGAAGTGTGGAGATCCACGCTTCTTCAACAAATAAATCTACAGCGAATTTCGCCTTCCATAGGTCCGAGTGACAGCTCCAGAATGGCTAGAAATCTGATTTTTGCACTTCTCCTTTAGTGAATGTACCATCCAACAACCGTCCCTCCAATACGTATAATATACTTCAGGAATATGTGAAACTTTCCAAGAATCAGCACCTAGTTTGTCGGGACACAATGTCATGATAAATTCATCAGACATGTCAAAAAGTTCAAGAATCTTCAGACTAAGGAGCCATTCAATTCCTATTGGCACACTTTCCAGCAAAGTACATCTCTGGATAACCAGCTTCTCTAGAAGAGGTATTGCACCCTCCCCGATTGTCACCCGTCTTAGTCCTTCCAACTTGTCCAAATTTAACAGCTTAAGCTTCTGAAATTTACCTTGCTCAAAGTATAGTTTCTCTCCAGTGTATCCTACAAGAAATTCGAGATGGACAAGATTGGGCAAATCTTGGAGATATTTGAGCGGATCATCTGTTAAATGAGTCCACCTGAAGTATATTTTGACCAAGGAATGAAGAGCTTGAATCCACCTCGGAAACTGAACAATGCGTCCTGTCAAATATAGGCGCTGAAGAAGAGGTGGAGGAGAAGACATGTAAGAAAGATCAAGGATCTCATGTTCTTCGACTGATTTAAGATTTAAAGACTCAAGCTTGCGGAGCTTTTCAATTGATGAGCACACAGTCCTCCCATCTTCTTTTGTCAACTTAAGAATACAAAGTCTTCTCAGTTCACTCAACACCCCTACTTCTCTGAGTATGTCACTTCCGGGGGTTGCCTCAATATACACAAGTTTCTGCAAGGCTCTCAAAGTTCCAAGTCCTTTCAAAGCCTTAAAACCCGGAGAACAATTATAAGGAAGATACGAGTAGGAAACGTGGCTATAAACTAAAAGGTGTCGGAGATTTTCAAGTTTCAAAATCTCCACAGGCAACTCAGTGACATATGTCTGCTTCAGATCTAATATTTCTAGTTGTTTGAGTCTTTCAATGGATCTTGGAAGCACTCTCACACTGGTATTCCTCAAGCTTAGATACCTTAAGTGAAACAATTGGAAAACTGTCTCAGGAATCATTTCTAGAGGAGCTCTTCTCAAATCTAAAACCCTGAGCATCCTGGAGCTACCAAGCACTCGACTTATGCTTGATAAAGACTGTGGATCTGCTACACCAAATGTAAGAAAAGACCGGAGTTTAGTGGCTAACCTTTTCACTTGTAGGTTCCCTAACGTGCCATGGATTGACAGGCGTCGAGTTTTTTCAGGCCACAATTTAGTTTGCTCGTCAACTGTTGCAGTAAAGTTATCATCTCTTGATTTTGAAAGAATAAGCTCGCGATATAGGTCATGAATCCGGCCCAATTTCATGCTACCGTCATCATTGTATTGCACCGGATGGAGCAAGCTTCTGTTGATGAGCTCATTAAGATAGCCTTCTGCAACGTCTTCAACTGTCCTCCCCTCTTTTTGTTTTACAAACCCTTCTGTTATCCACCGGTAGATCAGCGTGTTGCGCTCAATTAGATCATCCTCGGGATAAATGCTCAAATACATGAAACATGGCTTAAGATAGTAGGGAAGATCATTGAAACTGAGTAACAAAACTATTCTCATACTCGCAAATTTGTCATTGCTATCCAGTTCAGGACCAAGGCTGTGATTAAGCATTCCCCACTCCCTAGTGTTGGTCCTGTTCTTTGTAGCCAAAAGCCCACCAACAGACACAATAGCCAGCGGCAATCCACCACATTTTTTTAAGATCTTCCTACAAATGCTCTCCAAGTGTGAAGGGCACACATTACCATGAAATGCCTTTTGGCAGAAAAGACTCCACGACTCTTCTGCAGACAAGGGCTTCAGCTCATAAACATAGTCATTGGTCTCTATGCTACAAAAGGAAGCCACGTAGAAAAGACGTGTTGTGACGATAACACGACTTCCATTATTTACATCAGGCAATACATATCTTATAGCTTCCCAAGCTTGAATAGTCCAGACATCATCAAAAACTAGTAAATACCTTCTCGATTGCAGGAATACTTTTGCTATTGATTTTAGTCTGTTACTGCTCATGGTGCTTAGACCTTTGGGGGCTGGCTGCTTCACTTCATCGTAGAGCTGTTGGATCATGTCTTTCAAAACTTCCTCAACCTTGAAGGACTGGGAAACTGTTATCCAAGCAACACTATTGAAGTAATTCTTGACTGCTGCATCCTCGTACACTTTCTTAATCAGGGTGGTCTTCCCTGAACCTCCCATTCCCACCACCGAAACCACTTTAAGCGTGGGATTATCCTCCACGAGCCAACGGATTAGCTGCTGTCTTGGATTTTCAATGCCCACAAGCTCACCTTCTTCTAGCAATAGCGCATCCCCCCTGCGATCATTCGCAGTATTATAGACATGGTTAGAACTTGAACCTTGCTCGGGGACATTAAATTTGTAGCGATACCTCAGATGGCCCTCTGCAGTATTGCGGACTCTTGATTTGATGGTTTGAATTTCAATGACAAGTTTATGGTGGGCTTTGATGTTTCTGAATGAGAAAACCAATTTACCAATTAAACAACATGATCCATGGAAGTGATGATCACATGACAAGAGCATGGACTCATCAAGAACATCCTCAATGTCATTTGCAACATCTCTCACTTGCCTAACCCATACTTTTACCTCTGCATCTCCCTCTTCTAAAGCATCGGCCACGCCAAGGAAGGATATCATTCTCTCCAATTCATCTTTGATATACTGGATATCATGCTTGACTCCTCGAAGCAGTGTTGCTTCTTCCGCTAATAAGCTTGTGATTTTGTCAAGTACAAAAACGACAGCACTGTCTGCCATCTCCACCTGATCTTCACTAGTGTCTATGCTCATTTCTTTATGTAATGAAAACAAGAACATCCCCATCTTCCTGGTAATTCTTATGAAGAGACAAGAATCAAAACAAGTCAACCAAGGAATATTTATATTGTGGTCCCCTAATTAGTCACTAAAGCTGGACTCCTTTATGCATTAAGAAAAAGCAAACACGCTTGTTCATGGTACAAAACCCTTTCAATATATAGCAGTAACCTTGACCGGACTGAAGTGGAAATTTCAGAACATTTAAGTGGAAAGTTTCATCAAATACAAAAGTCAAATTATAAGGAATTTGCTAGAAACTTTCTACATTCTAACTAATTTCAAAGCTTACTCTGGCTTTCTTCTGCTTTAGCCACAAGGTTTGAGATTGATCAGGGTTTGACTCAGGTGAATACAAAAGAATAAAAATCCTAAGTCAGAGTGCAGTGGAAAAATAGGAAAAGTACAAAGTTTAAGAGGAAAACTTACATTAATCTGATGGAGAAGCTCTTATAGTTTACCAAAAACTACAAGAGGAAGAAGAGATTCCAAATATGATGTTATTCTTCAAATTTGACTTTTCTAGTTTGTGTTTGAAATCCTATCATAGGTATGTAGCTCCAATTATCACCATATTTGGTAGTGAGTCACCAAGTCAATCCTGGTCAAGTAATCATGAACTCTGAATATTCTCAGTTGTTAAGTGGAAAATGACCCATCAGCAATTCAATATTTACTCTTTCACAATAGTAAGAGACACTATTTGACAGAAGTAGGATTGCTCTACTAAACAAAAAGTTACTATATTAAGAGATAACACAACAAAAATTTTAATTGTTCAGGTGAATGGCTTGATATCAAATAATTTAGTCAATCAAGTGACCTAATAACTAGTGTGCATATATATATAGCAGCAGTCATTGGGTAGGTCCATCACTTTACTCTTGAAAAATTGGACCACATCAGAAGTTATAACATCAATATCATGGAAAGCATAAGACAAGATTTATAACAGAGAGCTCTTGTTCAACAAATTCTCAACTCAAATAGGAAAGAGCTGAAAAATGGAATCTTTAGAAGTTAGAACTATGATATGCAACTTGAAGATTAAGTAAACATAGATAGGAGGAAAATTTAGATGTAGTAAATAGCCCCAGAGAAAACTAGAAACTAGTCATCTCAAAATAGATCATCTCCCTTAACTGAATTGGAAAATTAGGGCAAATGTGTGTCAGTTTTGTAACCGCCAAGCCATGATTGACCCCAACTTTAAACGGAGGATAAAAGTAGTCCATTTCACGAACCAAAGGTTTTTTTTCAAAAGAATCCATACCCAAGACTCGAATTCGAGATTTCTGGTTAAGAAAAGAGCAATCTCATCACTGCACTAGATTTTAAAGATTAATTTGCTAAAGTTGAATCTTGGAGTTCAATTCCTTTAATATTATGTCTATTTTGCAAACAAACAGTTACTACCTCTCACGTGAATACAAGTGCAATGAAAGAATTATATAACATTCTGGGAAGTGGTACTAACTGAACATAAACGAGGAACGAAGAAAGAAGAGGGTGAGGAAAGAGGAGGAGAAAGGAGAGTGAATAGGTAGAAAAGAAATGGGTAGGAAAAGTTCTTACTAATTGATTTCAGTTATTCAATTTTGAAATCATATGTTGTGCGATTTTGTTTTGACATCTACAATTGCAACTATTGTTTTGGTGAGTACATTTTGAAATCATTTGTGCGGATTATTGCCTTAAGTAGGCGTTTGGACATAAAAATTCTGATTTTTGAAAAAAAAAACAATATATGGAGTTAAGTTAAAAAATTATATTTAAAATTTAAAATTATATTTGGCAAAGTATTTCACTTGAAAAATATTATAATTTTATGAGTGGGAAAAAGTATTTTTTACGGATAGCTTGAAAAATGGTCATTACAATTTTTTTGGTTTTTGAAAAATTTATTTTCAAAAAATCTCCAAAAGTTACAAATTTACATGAACAAACACATTTTTGAAATAATATTTCCGTAAAAAGGAAAAAAATATGGACAAACGGGCCCTTAAATCTAATAGTTGTTGAGATTTAATGTGTTTTCACATGTTTTTCTCTACCTCATGCCAGAAATACTAGATTCAGACGAACCATTAATCTTGAGTCCAACTCAAAACATAGTATAGGTCTAGACTCGTTGAATCCATCTTTAGACGTGTTTGACTCAAAAGTTGTTTAACACTTTTTAAGTAAATCAATCAACATAGATGAAAGGGTAAATCAAAGTCGAAGATAATAAACCCTAGGATGATCTTGGGAATTGGTTCAGATAACCAAAATACAAATCGGAGAGAGAGAGAAGGTCAATCTTCGAGAGATAAGAGAGAGAGATAATGTTAGAGAGATAAGAGAGAGAGAGAGAGATAATGTTAGAGAGATAATCTATTTCCAATAATGAATCCCCTTTTTTACAAGGTTCGGACCCCCCTTTATATAATAGAAGATCCTTACTTAAATATTAAAAGACAGAAATAAAGTACATGCTATAGAGGGGCCGACGTGATCATGAAGTCGTCCCTCTTATTATTCCTAAGTCGTCCTTCTAGCTGGACTCACACATATTCGGTCGGTCGTGCTGGCTTAGGGACGTGGTCGGTCAAATTCGATCCCATACAGTTAGTCCCTCCGCTCGTCGGGGTCGCAGCGAGATGCGTCCTCGATGGGCGGAATCGGTACCTCCGTTCTGGGAGAGTTTGACTTTGTCAAAGAATTGTGACGTGACAGGCGGGAGACAGTAATCATGACTGTCAGAGCGTCGAAGCGAAACGCCTTTCCCCGTGTGACGTCAGCGTTCGTACGCGTCATCACTGCGCGTATTCTCGAGGCAGGAAATCAGAAGCTTTTGGCGCTTGGTATCCCGCGCCGATTCGACGTCTGCCTCTTCGATCCTGGCGCCACCCAACCCTATAAATAGGAGAAGGGTTTAACCTGATTCAAACTTTGGTCATTTGTAAGAGCATTCCGACCCTTCAGTGTCACATTCTGGTGCGTTTTCCTTCGATCGAAAATCTCCTTTTTCTTTGTTGGGTTGTGCACAACTTTTTTCTTCACCGAGACCATGCCTAAACCTCGCCGAAGCGACGAGAGGGTCCCGGCGGCTGCCCCATTGAACGTGCCGCCACCTTCCGATGGTAGAGCGGTGGAGGAGGAAGAGGACATCAGTCCTCTTACTGTGGAAGCATTATTGCCAAAGCATATCTTATCTCGGAGTGATTTCAGTAAGGACTCTCCTATTCCGGCTCCAGAGTTTTCCGAGTCATTGCAGAATCACTTGGATGACCTCCGCGTGAAATACGGCATACCTGCCCACGTAGAGATGGTTCCGGCGGGGAGGGATCACGTGGATGTTCATAGGCCAGGGTATTGTACCTTTTATGAATACCCCTTTTCGATTGGTTACAACCTCCCTCTTTTCCTTTTGGCGGAGGAGTTGTGCCGGTTCTATAACGTGTGTCCGGCTCAACTTACGCCGTATACTCTGAAGGTGCTTCGGCTGCTGACCAAGTACGCGGAGTTGGCTGGATGTGAAGTCACGATCCATCACCTCCTACAACTGTTCAGTGCCTAGTAACTAAGAGGGACCATGGTGCATTTGAGAGGCCATGGTACGAAGGGATTGGTGGTCAAAACCGATGACCGAGCGAGTCGTGGGTTCTGGCGCACATATTTTTTTATTAGGACCGAGCACGTGGTCTCTAATCCTGCCGGATTCCCAGAGAGGTGGAACTCGAAACGTAAGTGCAGTTTGTCAAATTCCACGTTACTCGTGACTGTCGCAATTCTAACATTTGTATTGCAGCTATGGCTCATCCGCCCCGGCCTGTTGCCAACCTCAGGAGATGGGTTGCTGGCTTGCTTCTCTACGCGGAAGAGACCCGCACTTGGCCTGCCTTCATGCAGCGTTATGGCCCCAAAGTCTCTTCAGGTAGATTTCCGATTTTTGCTTTGTAAATTCTGCAACCCTGCTCACTTATTTGTATGGCGATAGGTCGAAGCGCTTCTAGGAAGAGGGCGCCAGTCCCCGCTCTCAAGCGATCCGACGTTTCCTCGGACGCTCATGATATACTGATTGAGTCTGTCCGAGAGGATCTCCCTCTAGCTCCTTTACAGGGGGCTACATCTACGACCATGGTCATGTGGGAGTCGGCATCGCTGGCGCCGGCTCTACAACCCATGGATGAACCCTCCGATGGCGAGGAATCGTTAGAAAGAAAATGGAGGAGGCTCGAGAAGGGCAAGGGGGTGGCCACCGAAGCCGGAGGAAGTGAGGTGCCTCGGCCGACGCACAGACCATTCATGGCCGACGCCATTCTATCTGGGAGGTCGGCTCAACAGAGGAGTGCTATTCCTGGTGCTAGTTCCGCGTGTGCTGTAGAGGGAGGGTCATCAACCAACGTCGAAGGACCTGGCGAGGAAGAGGAGAAATCGGACTCTGACATCGCTTAGGAGGATGTTGACGAGTTTGTGGGTGGCCTTACCCACATGGAGATGACGACGGATGGGTCCGACCGTCGTATTACGATTCCGGCGGCTTACAACTTGCTGTTGAACAGCGAGCAGGCTGCTTCGGCCCTTACCCTGCTGTGTGCCGCCTCCGAGAGCAAGACGATCAGTACTGTGGAGGATGCGGAGCTATCACGAAGGGTTTCCGGAATGGCTTTGCAGGTAATCCTTATTTCCTTTCTCCCTTCTGCGTGTTGTAAGACTGACTTGAGACGTGCTTATTTCTGCTTTTCTTTTTAGACCCTTGTTTTGGAGGTAGAGAGGGGACGCCGTGAGCAAAAACGGACGGCCCTCTACAAGAAGATGCTAAAAAAGTATCGAAAGTATCGCTCTAAGCACCGAGCGATGGTTGAACGGGGGCAGTCCCAATTGGAACGCAGGGGAGCTGAGATGGAGGAGGCGGATAGCGAGCTGATGAAGGCCGTGGCCCGTAACAGCGAGTTGGAGGAGCTTCTCAGGATGAAAGATGACGAGCTTGAGCTGAGCCGTGGGGTGGCGGCGGAGAACGTCGACCTGCAGCGTAGGGTGGCGGATCTGACCGCTGAGCTCGACACCAGGATGGCGGAGAACAATGGACTTTCTCAGCCTTCCTCATCTCGTCCCTCGCCTGATCGGAGTACGCATCGTAGTGCGCATGAAATGTGGATTTTTTCGGAGGCTAAGCTCGACGTGTATAGAGAGCTTCATGCCGCGGGCCGGGCGACGGAGGAGGAAGTTCAGGCACGACGAGACGAGGCTTGCGCTGCTCGTGAGGCTTGTGGTTATTACCCCGACTCTCCCGATGGGGAGGGGCCTGCTTCTGAAGACGTCAACCGGCTCGACTCCAGTTCCTGGTACAATGACGTTTACCTCCCAGGGGGTGACGGGCAATTACTAAACTTGTACAATGTATATTTTTTGGCTTGTATAGTGTATTGGAGCTCGTCCGTGGGGGCGAATGTAAATATATTTTTGTTGTAATATAAATTTTATTTTTGTTGCTTCGTCCATTTGGTGCCTTCCCTTTCTTGGGTTTTCTTTTGTAATGCTTAGCCTCTGTAGAGGTTGTTCTTGTCGTTCATCAAAGGGTCGTGCCGTGGTTCGAGCGAGGTCGAACCGATGTCGATGGCCTTGGCCATTAGGATGTTGCTTCGACTATTGTCGAAGTAGTATCCGTCGTGGTTCGAGCGAGGTCGAACTGATGTCGATGGCCTTGGCCATTAGGATATTGCTTCGACTATCGTCGAAGTAGTATCCGTCGTGGTTTGAGCAAGGTCAAACCGATGTCGATGGCCTTTGCCATTAGGATGTTGCTTCGATTGTCGTCGAAGTAGTATCCGTTGTGATTCGAGCGAGGTCGAAACGATGTCGATGTCCTTGGCCATTAGGATGTTGCTTCGACTGTCGTCGAAGTAGTATCCGTCGTAGTTCGAGCGAGGTCGAACCGATGTCGATGGCCTTGGCCATTAGGATGTTGCTTCGACTGTCGTCGAAGTAGTATCCGTCGTGGTTCGAGCGAGGCCGAACCGATGTCGATGGCCTTGGCCATTAGGATGTTGCTTCGACTGTCGTCGAAGTAGTATCCGTCGTGGTTCGAGCGAGGCCGAACCAACGTCGATGGCCTTGTCCATTAGGATGTTGCTTCGACATTCGTCGAAGTAGTATCCGTCGTGGTTCGAGCGAGGTCGAATCAATGTCGATGGCCTTGTCCATTAGGATGTTGCTTCGACTGTCGTCGAGTAGTATCCGTCATGGTTCGAGCGAGGCCGAACCGATGTCGATGGCATTGGCAATTAGGATGTTGCTTCGACTGTCGTCGAAGTAGTATCCGTCGTGGTTCGAGCGAGGTCGAACCGATGTCGATGGCCTTGGCCATTAGGATGTTGCTTCGACTGTCGTCGAAGTAGTATCCATCGTGGTTCAAGCGAGGCTGAACCGATGTCGATGGCCTTGGCCATTAGGATGTTTCTTCGACTGTCGTCGAAGTAGTATCCGTCGTGGTTCGAGCGAGGTCGAACCGATGTCGATGGCCTTGGCCATTAGGATGGTTCTTCGACTGTCGCCGAAGTAGTATCCGTCGTGGAATGGGGATTAACTCTTGTTCGTGTAATGGAGATTAACCCTTGTTCGTGTAATGGAGATTAACTCTTATTTCA